TTGTTTTAAGAACTAACAATCGATGTTGTGCAACAAAATTGTGCCTAAGATCCACTACAATAAAGTTTTTGAAAAACTGTTGGACCTATTTTAAAACAGCTGATTGATTGTGGACGCAAATTCGTATCAAGAAAAGATCAAATTATCAATATTTAGATATCTATTTTGTGATCTTTCATATTTAACATAAAATGATAATCATCATTACTTTTTTGTAATAATATATAATAAATATGTTTTGAATTTAATTGAAAAATTATTTGAGTTTACCTCGGTTATTTCAGAAAACATGGGTTCCGTCTTCTTATTTTCTATCCCGCAACGCATTCTTGATGTTAAGACGATACGAATCTCCCTTCAGCTTATAGTTGCAAAATATGTAAAACGAATCTATTAGGGCTCATTTGCAATTCTCTATATTATTTCTATGATTAATTGTGTTTACCACGCATCAAAATAGATTTTTTCCTTCATATACCCTTTGATTCCTTTATGATTAAATCTTCTCAATTTAGTTTAATTTTTTTAGCCTTGGATTAGTTCAGTTAGAATATTTTTTATAACATACGCGCGATGGCTTACATGATGTATACATATAGTGTATCAAGTGTATCCTGTCTCTATAGCTCTTCCTCGTTTTACCGTCTATTTTAAACAGATAGAAGGTCTTCCAATCACCAAAATTAATTTATTCTTTAGTCCTATTCAGATACAAGTTGTAGCAGACGCTCATGAACAACATACACAAGAGCAGTCACAAAAACACGCTATAATGCGAAAAGTATTAAGTAATGTTGAACGCCAAAAACGATTTTGTGCTAAAAAAGGAGCATTAAGAAATAGATCAACTCAAAATGACTTTCATCAACCACGAACTAGTGCTGAACGTCAAAGATTATACAAAGCAAATATGAAATTACGACACAAAATACAGAAACTCAAGAAGAAGAGTTTACACAAACCCAAGAAGAGCAATATATACAACATCTCGTTAAAGAATGTTAAATGTTGCAAATAAAAAAGATATTTTACATTCAAAAGGAAATTAAATTAAATTTTACCTATTCCTGATCCATTTATAAATTATTAGCCTGAACAAGAATAATAATTATAAAATAAAATAATTATTGCCATCATGCGTTAAACAAGTTCAATATTTTATGGCTTCTATTAATTTATGAAGTTATCACTTCTGTAGAGCGTCCCGTGACGCACACCAGTTTTTTTTGTGAAAGAAATTAATTTCATAATAAATTGAAATGTTCGTTACATTTTTGCGTATTTTTATTTGGATTAGCTTACAGCCGATAAACCTCAATTATTGTAAATTAAATTAAAGTAAATATAAATTTTGAAGTTAACTCGTCAGCCATCCCTATTTTAACTTCAACTTGCACTTGAAGCTTTCAGACAAAAATGTGAACAAAAGGACTCAAAAAGATGTATAAAAAAATTCGTAGAAAATCATCCAGAAACTCTACATGGACTTATATTTGTGCAAATAACTCGAAAACGAACACAGATGCGAAAAAACTGCAAGACATCGGAAAATTCTTAAATTGAACAACAAATGCAAAAATGTGTTTGGTAGAAGTCAGTGGCGCACCACAAAAAAGCTCGGGGGGTAAAAGGGGGTATTCCTCCAGAAAAAGAACACCCTGTAGATTTTCACAACCAGTCGCCTTACCTACTTGCCCCTGCTCTGTGTCCATAAGGTTGTGAATCACCCTGTATAATCAAAATCTGCTGCACACACGTAAAAGATTTTTGTGAAATCCAGGAAATGTAATTATTTTATTAATTGTTTAGCCTCTAGCACCCATATTTTCCTTTTTTTAGCAAGTCTTCGACTTTTTATAGTTGAAAGTACAATTAGAGCAGCAACAAGTTTTCTCGACATTTTCAAGCCGAAAGTGATCGACTGAAAATAGAAAGAAAAGAAGAAAAAAAGTAGCGTGCAACTCGCCGTCTAGTGAACACAGCACGGCAACAATCAACTTGTTGCGATACAAAAGTATCCAGTGGACCCGTAGCTAGAGATTCATTAATTTCTTGAAATGTGAGCATCTCAATCATGTTTCTCAGAAAAACGTTTTTGCATCGACTGAATTCCTTATTACTGATAATACCAGTCATAATTTATGATGGAAAGTCGACCAAGCCAAATTCGTTGGAAAACATGGGGTTGCTAGAATTAGAAATGTTCATGCTCATTACTCATTCTAATCATGTGGTATCAGTTGTTAGATAAACCCAGATCTTTAGGTAAACCCAAAGCTACACGCACACGCACACCTTTTTCCATGTATTTATCAAATTTATCAGGTCTTTGCGCAAGTAATGCTTATCTAAAGTAAATAGGCTTAGCACGGATCAAATATTTCCGATCTATAATTAAACGTGCAACCCACAATTTTAAATTGTTGGCGTTCAATACGCACCCTTCTCAACCGCACGTAAAGTATCATAACGGCATAATAATGTTCTGTGTGATTGGTGTGATTGTGTGCTGTTTAATGCATGGTTCGTCTGCGGTAAGTAAAAGCGGTGGTACTTACTTAAAATATTGCACATATACGAACAAAATATGCTTTGCAGGATTATATTGGGGCGGTGGTTGAGTACAATCATGTGCCCAGTGAGAACTCGAGCTTAACTGTCGAGGAAAATCTGGAGCACTACCTGTATCAAATCAGTCAGGCGAGCGTAAGTCTCATTGACTTGATTGGTCGGAAAAATTGGAGTTTTTTGTTTAGGTATTTGGTGCCCAAATTATCGTATTTCCTGAGTATGGGTTAACTGGATTGGTGCAGCAGCCGGACGACTATGCAGTCTGGATACCTGACGTCGGCACCGAGGGCTTTCTATCGGAAGCCTATGTAAGTACATCAGGTACCCACATAGCAAAATTATATTCCCAGAATATACCTGGAACATTCATGTGATGTACATGCATATTCCTGGGACATACATGAGTTCCATTATGAACATTCCATGTATGTCCCAG